AGTGGTAGAAGTTTTACAACAATCGGATGATCAGATTGAGAAATATAGCTTGCCGAAGCTCCTTTTTTTGGGTTTGGGTTTTAAAATTTAAAAAAAATAAATTTTTAATTTTAAAAAAAAAGGATAATTTTGGTTAAAAAAAAAAAAAAAAAAAAAAAAAAAAAAAAAAAACTAACAAAGTAATAAAAGAATTTGTGCTTATAATAGCTTGAAGTTATTAAAAATAGTATTTCTTAGTACTTTGTAATTAGATTAAGTTTTACATTGAAATCCAAAATAGTTTGTATTTAGATGGTTGAAACCCACTAGACTACTTGAATACTTGCAAAACATTGTTTTATCTTCTACAGCCACATGCTCGGTGCATTCTCAAGCAAGATAGTATGTAATATGACATCGATGCTTCAGATTTTACTATGGGAGCTATACTTTTGTAGATAGGCACAGACGAGAAGCTTCATCCAGTTGCGTTCTACTCTCAAAAGTTTTCTATTGCCGAGATCAACTATGAGATCCACAATAAAGAACTTCTTGCGATAATAGATTCTTTCTAAGAGTGGCGTCACTTTCTTGAAGGAGCTGTGCATTTGGTGACCGTATACATGGATCACAAGAATTTAGAGTTTTTCATGTCGGCTCGAGTTCTAAATCGTCGTCAAGCTCAATGAAATATGTTGCTATCCAGGTTTGACTTTGTTATTACTTATCGGCTTGAGAAGTAACAAGGACTATTCGATGTATTATCAAAGAGATTATATCTAGCGCCAAACGCTGGAGAGGTAGCATTTCATCAATAGTGTACAACATTGTTGAAGTAAAAACAATTCAGGCTTTGCTCTGCTATAGTGCCAATTCATGCTGACTTCCTCAACTAAGTATATATTGCAACTATTGGAGATTCTATAGCCCTCGATATCACACAATGTGTCAATAATGACAAGTCCAAGGTAGAAGGAGATCTTTTATACTTTCAAGAGTAGTTGTATATTCCAAAGGGGCCAACACGACTCCGAGTTCTCCAATCTCGACACAACTTTCCAACTGTGGGACATTTTGGATTCAATAAGACCTTGGAACTTATTTCTCGAGATTTTTGGTGGCCCTAAATGTGGAAGGATGTCAAGGATTTTTTCCTCTCCTATGACATTTGTTGAAGATCCAAGAACCCTTGGCATCGTCCTTATGGTCTTTTTCAGCCATTGCCTATTCTATGTCGGCCATGGACTTCAGTTTCTATGGACTTCATTACAGACCTGTCACCATCGAATTCTTTTGATAGCATCTTTGTTGTGATAGATTGGCTTACAAAGATGGCACACTTTGTCCCTTGTAAGAAAACATCGACAAGCAAAGACATAGCAAGGCTCTTTCTTGATAGTGTGTATCGATATCATGGTTTATCACATGATATCGTGCCGGATTGAAGAACCCCATTTGTATCAAAATTTTGGAGATTTCTCTTTGAGATATTGAAGGTGGGTATCAAGCTTTCTTCGACTTTCTATCCTCAAACTAACGGTCAAACGGAATGGGTGAATCAAACTTTGGAGCAGTATTTACGATGCAGCATCAACTATCAGTAAGATGATTGGAATGCATATCTATGGTTAGCCGAGTTTGCATATAACAATACCCTTCATGCATCGACTCAACAAACACCATTCTTTTTCAACTATCAGTATCATCCGAAGCTTGATTTGTTGAATCCGTCAATCAATAACAACCTAGTAGCTGAAGGATTTGCGAAACAACTATCGAAGCTTCAAACTACGTTGAAGCTTCAATTGTAAACTACCCAAGAAGCTTACAAGGAGTCCGTAGACAAATTTTGGAATCAGGCACTTACTTTCAAAATTGGAGATAAAATATGGCTGCTTCCATGGAATATCAAAACCAAGCAGTCATGTGATAAGTTGGACTACCGCAGATTAGGACCATTTGTCATCCAGAAGCAAATCAATTCAGTGGCATACCATTTGGGATTACCGGCTACTATGAAGGTACACCCATTCTTTCATGTTTCTTTGTTGGAACCTTATCGAGAGTCAATTTTTCCTGAAAGAGTACAATGTCCACCACTTAATATTGAAATTGAGAACCACGAGGAATACGAGGTAGAAAAGGTACTAGATTTGAGGTGTAAGTAGGAGAAATTGGAGTACCTAGTGCATTGGAGTGGCTATAATATCATTGAGCGCACATTGGAACCAGTAGAAAATCTTATCAATGTGTTGCAAAAGGTATAGGAGTTTCATCAACGCTATCCTCAGAAACCTAAGCCCTTTCGATGAAAGTTTTTTAGTGAAGTTCCTTCTCCTTGAAGCCTCTTAATCCTCGGCCTTACAAAGAAGGGGGAGAAGGAACCTCTAAAAGACATAGTTAGAGACTATAAATCTATAACTTGAGCCTATTCTTCTATTTTAGTGCTTGTATTTTTTGGTGTGATATAGATAGCCAAGAGATAGATTCCATACCAGTTATGTTTTCTCAACCGAGTATCTTACGAAGATGTCTTCAAGATGAAGAATCGCCTATATCACAAAGACGACGGAGGATACCTAATAACAGATCGCTAGTGATTGTGTTTGAGGTAGAATCTGCCTACGATGATCTTCCCAAAGGAGTATTTGTAGGGCATTTTTACAATAAAGACATGGAAGTTCATGCCTGGTCAAAAATCGAAGGCGTAGGATACTATCGTTGGTTACAAGGACCAATGAACTACTTGCCATGCGAACAACAATTGGAGTATATTGCAGATACTATGTGACAAATTTTCAACTTCTTATATTGGTAGTAACTCGCAATAGGAGTGCTTTTCTGAGACCTCAAAGCTAAAAGGGAGGAGTGATGTCAAGGACATACACTAGGAAGTTGTAGAAGATTTTGGAAGGTTCTAGAGAAGCTTTGTAGTTTGTAGAAGCTGCTTGAGAAGCTTCTTAGCTTGTGAAAGCTGCTTGAGAAGCTTCCTAACTTGTAGAAACTACTTGAAAAGTTTCCTAGTTGGTAGTATATATAGGACCTGAGACTAAGGAGATCCTCAATCTCAACAACACACCTCTTGGAGCTCTAGTTCACCTCTCTAGTGTTGTTCTTGTACTCATCTGATTAATCTAGTTCTTGCCGATTCTTCTTGAGCTTCTTGTTTAGATTTCTAGTCAGTATTCTAAATTCGTGACAACAGGATACAATATAGCAAATGATGTTGTTTTTAGAGATAGAATCATTTTATCTGTATAAAATGATGATGAAGAGGATATTAATGAGAAAATTATGGCCATATTTTCTAGAGAAGAAGAAGAATATCTAAGCACCAATAAATTTATAGTTGAAGATGGCATCAACAACAATAATATTTATCTAGTCAAATTCATCAAGTCACTTAATTCATCTAGAATGCCTAGATCAAGGCTATGTCTTAAGATTGAAACTTTCACGATGCTAGTAAGAAATATTGCTCCTTACTAAGGACTTTGTAATAGAATCCGATTGGTAATTATAGGACTAATGATCAAGTTCTTGAAGCAAGAATTCTTAGAAAAAAATTTGCTAGAAACATAGTATTCACTCCACATATTATATTAACTTTTACAACAAAAAAATCCTCTATTCATTCTAAAGAGAAACGAATTTCTAATATGTCTTGCATTTGCAATAATAATAAACAAATTCCAAAGAAAATTGATGAAATATGTTCGTTTGGATCTATGACAACCTATTTTTTTCATAACCAAGTGTATGTAGCATTCTTTTAATGTACTTCATTCCATTCTATGAAGATTCTTCTTTCTTGAAATAAAAATTTAATTCTATGTTGAATATTATTTTTCTATAAGTTTTTAATTAGATAAATTTTAGAAATTTATTTCTTATATTTTATATTTTAATTAATTTATTTATTGACTTTAATACATCTTTGAATGTCTTAACATACTTTTATGATTTTTTTATATAACTTTTTTTTTTATATAAATATTTTCACAAGTAATTCTTTGAACAAAATTATTATTATTATTATTATTATTATTATTTTATATTATCTATGACAAAAACATAGGTTTATCTATCCTACTTTGTAGCTAAAAGTTCCATTGTATATTTTATTTCTTTCTATTTGTATTATATTGTATTGAATTTGTATTTTAAAAATATTCTTTGGCTCAAAAAATACTTCATTTGAGTCACACTTCCTATGACAATGACATGAGTTCATCTAGTCTCTTTTATAAAACAAATTAAGGGATTAACCAAAGGCAACAAAAATCATCTTTGATTAGTTGCATATTTCATTGTTTTCATCAAAAATAAAGAAAAAATGAAGCAATAACTCAACTTTTGATCAATTAGAGATCATAATCTACATAGTATTGTTGTAGAATGGTGAGAGTAGCATTGTGAGATTACTAGGCATGGAGTTCAAAAGCACCACAATATTGAATGATATGGAACATAGTAGAATGTCATGCAACATGGAGCTCAATGTCATTTGAGGCTTCAAACAAAAGATTAATTTACACCACATTGTTTACAATGCTTTTTTTTGTGGCTGATAGCAAGGGTTTCTACCAGTATTCTACAAGCTAGGATATGGGGAAGTATTTAATTGCAGACAAAAAAACACATGCAGCAAATGCAACAATTGTTTCTATTGCATTATAAAAAAAACGCAATAGTAATCACCTACCTGCACTAGTCATTCCATTCTCAGCCCCTCATTCTCGCCCATCTTAAAAGGGCAACACAGATGCAAGGAGCAACGACTGGCGGCAGCAGGTAACGAAGCGAGGGAGAGGCGCTCGGTAACCAGCACAGTCCACGAATCCCATCCTACCGCCGACGGAGGCGACCGGGATATCCGGTCACGCGAGCCCCCTTATCCAAGGCGCTCGCAGCCCGTTGGCCGTGACCCGGTGGGGGCAATGGGGGAGTGCCCCGTAGCACGGCCCTTATCCGGTGGGGCTCGTGGCCACGCTTCTCCGCGACGACATGAAGGCCGCGCATTCGTAACTAAGCAACAAGACCGCGCATCGTCGAACAATCGATCTCGTTGTGTGTCTGCAGCGCGCCTCCATTCGCACCACCACCACCTCCCTTTGTATTGCCTCGTCGCACACATTTGAGGAGCATCTAGTCGCCATGGCAGCTGCTGCATCCGCCACCATGGCCGTGTCGGGCTTGGCCGGCAGCTCCCTCGCGGGGAAGAAGTTGGCCATCGCTCCCTCCAAGAGCGTCTCCATGCGATCTCCCTCCAAGTTCGTCTCTCCCACACGCAATACCCCCCTCTCTTCCTCTTTTCTAGACCATTTTGGGTATCGTAGCGTGGGTGCTTTGCGCGGGTCCTTCCTTCTGGGTTGTCCATATTGGGTTGTCCATACAGGGTTGTGGAAAATCTGGATTCGTTGGTTTTAGCTCTGTCGGCGGTTGTTTTTGCTCCGCGTAGTTAGTGATGAACCAGGGGCGATTTTATGGGTATTGTTGGTTAGGTAGTTAGGTGGTTAGCAATGCCCGGTTGTGGTTATAGAGGTTGTGGCAGCGGTGGTTTTCTCGAGGAGAATCTCGAAGGCGCTGGAAGCGTTCGTGTACGCCACAGTGCCTTGGGTGGAAGTGGGTTCTGTGGTTCTGCGGCTGTTCTCGCGATGTTTCTGTTACGTAGATTCTTAGCTGTACGGATATCATGGTAGTATTGCCATAATATCTGGCGTCCTTTTTGATAGGTGGCGTCGCCGTTTGCTTCGTGTTTGGGGTGTAAGGCCTGAGAGTGACGACGTTGCACTAGATAACCACGACCCTAAGTGATTAATACGCTTGCTATTCTTCACTGTGCAGGGTTGGAGTTGTCAGTGCCAAATACGGTGAGAAGAGCGTGTACTTCGACTTGGGTGAGATCGACAACACCACCGGGAACTGGGACCTGTACGGTAACGACGACCCCAACCGATACAATGGTTTCCAGGTGAGCTCGAGTTTTTCAATTTTGTATTTCCTCTCCTTCACGTCCAAGTGTGTTTGCGGGTATAGTTTCATAGTATAATGTGTACCAAGTAAGTTTGTTGTACATGGATTCCCTGCTAGTGCGACTAGTCCTACTGATGCTACTTATTCCTCAGATTCGAACTTTCAGGTGATTGGTTGTGAAGTAGTTATCTCTAATTCATGATCTGCGTGTTTGTAAATGCAGAATAAGTTTTTTGAGACCTTCGCTGGAGCCTTCACCAAAAGAGGTCTGCTCCTGAAGTTTCTGGTGTTGGGCGGTGCCACCACCATTGGGTACCTGGGATCTACCTCCTCCCCCGACCTTCTGGCCATCAAGAACGGACCCAAGCAAGTTCCCGTAATGGGTCCCCGCGGAAGGAAGTAAATGTCTAGCACCCGATATTTTGATCAATCGTGTATAACCTTCAAATGTAATCTTGAAACACTCTCCTCGATACGCCGACATTTTTTGTCTGGTCATATGTATCATACAGCAATTGGCACAATTGTGGATTGCATATCGGAGCGCTTGAATGTGACCAAGTCTAATGATATTTGAAAATTCTTTGAGCGTGACATTTAGGCTTCACTCGAAAATTTTACTTATTTTGTAAATTTGAAATGAAGTTTTTACATACATCAAAATTCGTACGTAGCTTGAAGAGTTGTGCATTATTTCATGCCTCCAATTATCAGTCTGTGAGGAGTTTTGCGCAAACACCTCACTCATGGTGTAGAAGGAATTATTCTGCTGTTGCAGCAATTGTGGCACTATCATTACTCTTTCATAAATACATTACCACAATGTGCAGACACATTATAAGTGACCAAATAATATTAACATGCACAATTCTCTCACAACAAAATTGGAATAAACTAAATTTCACAATTTTATATTCTCCTAATTAGTCATAAATGTACACCGTTCAACCAGAAGCTTATTCATATCCTTCTACATACAAGCACTTATCAATCACACTTTCTGATTGATGTAACACTTTCAATTCAATCTTAATCTAAACAACTTAAATTTGATAAAATGTGTACGATCTAACCTGCAATGAACTTCTCTTTCATACCACTCCGTCTAATCCAAAGTATCAAGTGAATGGATATTGATAGTTTGTACTGCTCGACAGCAAAGTATATATTCCTAGTCTTTACAAGATTTTCAAAACATGTCTCATGAATTATTCCTTCGCCTCTTCTTGTTCACTTTCAATCACAACAGAAATACCTTTCGTCTGCGAACATGTTGCAGCGGAAAAATTCAATTTATACACCACAATGTAATGAGAGATTGGAGTAGTAGTGTAGCATTAATAGATGACATACAAGTCCAACAAGCAAGAGTTCTTGAAGACCTCACCGCCTGTGACTTACGATACGGTTGGCTGTGAGCGACACTTCTGCTCATGATTTAGATTTTTCATATTCTTCCTTGGGAGAATTTTTTGCTTCCTACCGGCATGGTTGAGATTAAACTGAGATAGACGAGTGTCTGAGATTTGCCGGCACTATAGAAAACGTTTCTGAAAAGCGTGGGCAGAGTCACTGTCGTCGCGATCGAAGACTGCAGGGAGTCGCAGGTTGCACACATATCCCTGGGTAGCCATGGATCACCGCAGTGTTGTACCTCGAAGGCATGGCCTCGTCGGTATCCTCTGTCAGAATTGGACGAAGTTCCATGCGCATGACATGCTTCCCGAGGGGCTCGAGGACGAGGGTCTTAATTCCCGGTCGTTCTCATTTGTTGTGCGACAACACCCATCCCCTCGGCGAATTACCTCTGCTTGCCATCGCTTTGTCACACAAATTTTACACTACTGTGTTATACTTTAGCACTGTCACAGTGCCCAGAGTTTTGTTGTCGACAAACCCGATAGACGATGCCCTTGCGGATCTCTTATTTGCCGCTATGAAGGCCCTTGTTCTGTTTACATGAGAAAATCGTTTACTCAGCATGGCAGATTGCAGACGTAGAGTGTACACTCGAAGGATTCATCTGTCAGAGAGGTTTCAGACACATTATTTCAGAAAAAAACCAAGAGGTTGTGGTTCATTTACCAAGTGATATGCCAAGGGCTGAGCTGAGTGAGAGGGTGCAGGAGGTAGTCAGGCTTGGTTGGATAGAGGAGCATCATAGGATGAGGCTCAACTGCTTTCCCCGGATTCATGTGAAAGTAGTTCTGCAGTTGAAAGGTCGCAATCCAAAGATCAGTTCTCATCAAGAAATAGGCCCAGAGAAGGCGATAAAGTTGAGTTCTGAATTGGAACTGAATTGCACTGTTTGCAAGGTGAGAGGTTGGACTCATCACCCACCGATCAACATGTGCTTCGTGTGACGGTAGGTGTTGATGTGGAAATGGTGGTTGAGCCCTAACTCCAGGGTGAGCTGTGGTCATGTGGTAGCACGATGTTGATTTCCACTCTTCTTAGATGCATGTTAGTCAAGTTTAAATCGTTCCTAGCAACACCAGTGAGGGTTCAGACAGAAACTCAACCTGGGAATAGAATTGACCATGGGAGAGAGGATGCAAGAGAGTCTGTTGCACGTTGATCAAGACCGATCAAACCCAAGCGCGTCGGGAATCGAAGATGGATGCCATGGGAACGTGGACAAGAGTCGCAGGTAAACTGAGCCAGTTGCATTCAAGCAGGCCCATCAAAATTGCACGTGTAAATGCCTTAACATCTAGCTATCATGTGTAACATTGTAGTGAATGTGTCTTTCTAGGACCCTCGACCGTTTAACACAAGGCATCCGCCGACTAGGGTGCAGTATCAATCTTCAAGTTTAGTTTTGAATGACGGCTTTGAGACATTTCCTTTCATGATGAACTGCGTGGAACCAACTGCGAATGGGTTTGTTAGCCTTCTAGCAACGAGTGCCTCCCAAGAGGCTCAGCAAAGTCTGAACTTCAAAATTCTTGTCATGAAAGCCTCTGAGTAGCGTTTGAACAACTACTAAGGCTAATTGTAGTCCGGGAGTATTGAGATCGCTTGTGATCGTTTCACGATGTAGCTATTGGCAACGTTGTTTGTGTACATGTGTGCAGCGTGCAGAAAAATATTCCGAATGTTGGTCATCAATGATTAGAGGCTACTTGGAGTGAGTTGGTCCATCCATGAGCTTTATTATCGGTAAATCCACCTGGAGGGTCTTCTGAATCACAGGCGTATTGTCGAGTCTCTAATGGATTCTCTCAATGATGTCCCGATAGATGAATAGTTCACATGTCTTTCTCACCTTGGTAGGTTGTTATTACACAAACATAAATTTAAATTTTGGAACATGAAATTAAATTTAGAATTTGGTACTCAGAGCAAGGGATTGAGGGCATCCCGAAGAAGTTTTCAAGTAGGTAGACCAAGCAAAGTGCGAGAAAAAGCTTGTAGTAAGAACGAGAAGAAGGTTAAAAAGTTCGATACAAATCTGAATAGGAGAATCGCCACAAGTCTTGGTTGCACATGCCAAGCCTGTGAGGAATCTTGGTGCATGTCAGATCATCTCCTGGCAGAACCCTTCACACATCCGCATTACTGCAGGCTTCGGTGAACAGTGAACTGAGATGCTGGGCCTATAAGAGCTTTCTAACGCAGATCCTGCAATCTGCAATACGTTAGGATTTATTGCAGGATCTTCTGCTGGAATGTAGACTTTTCCAGTGTTACATCAGATCGCCAAAACATGCCAAAGCTTGAACTTACTGTGAAGATGAAAATTTAGGTTGGTAGCCCGTCCTATCAACAAGGTCGTGAGTGTATACCCAATTTCCCCATAGTTGCCATGATGACTGCGAACTCACCAGTTTACTCATATCTATTTCAAGACTCGTTTGAATTACTTACGATATTCAGCAACTATTTTACTTGGTGTAGGATTGGTGGGTTTAGGTTGCTCTGGACGCAGTAGAACTGTCCATAGACTAGTGTGCTCCCGGTCCCTCAGCATTCCACATGCTTTGGTGACTAAACGTTATCTGGGCAACTCCACGCACACACACACATACACACACACACACATACACACACACACACACACACACACACTGAGTTCGTAGATCTCGGTGTCACAGTGCGATTCGATGATGCAGCAGTATCCCTTAACATACTTGCAGTGAAACACTCGTAAACTGGAGGATGGAAGTTCGAGAAGAAGGTGGTTGGAAGTGAACTTGCACAATGTTGATCGTTCGGTTGGTAGGGTTCAATTCCAGCATCAATTGAGGAGCTGAATGCCGCCAGTGACTCACCACATATCCATCACTGCAGGAGTGCAAGTCCCTGAGCGGAAGTAAAAAGGGGGAAAAAAGGACTAGGGAGGCAGTTTTTCCGAAGTACTGAGAATATTGAGGCCTGAAGCGGTAGGTTGGGAGGAACACTGATCCTGTAAAACAGAGAGCGATGCATCACCACGAGCCACGAGGAACAGTCCAGGATGAGGGAGCGTTTCGATTGATGAAGCCGCATCCCACCACCAGCACCACCCGCATCAGCAGCAGCACATGATCGAATCAGGGATCGCTCCCGCTTCCGGCGCGCCCCTAGGCCCGCAATCCCAACCAGAATAGCCTCGTTCCGCTCCCTATCGAGGTGACGGGCACACCAGAACCCCGAACTTGCTCGTCCAGACCGGACCCACATCACACCGGAGGAATTTATCAGGGCTGAGGATTGGGTGTAAGATGCAGGCTGGAATAGTAACACCCATGGAAGGATGGACTCCTTCATCTCTTCCCTCCTTTACATGATGCGAACTCCTCCGCGTTCTTCTGGTCTTTTTTGATGATTAGCGACAGAGCGTGTGTGTGTGTGTGTGTGGATGCGTGTAACGTGATTTGAACAAGAGCTTGAGCGAGAGTGTTGGGTGTCTGAGGGAATCTGTGTTGCAGCGGTCGGCAGCACAGCTATGCGCCTCACGGACCTTAGGGAGAGTTTTGATATCATCCAGCGTACATGGACGCACCACGACGCGTCACACGCGCTTCTTCAGCCCAGAAACTGCAAGAGCAGCGACACAATGCGACCCTGCAAGAGCCAGCGGTGGCAATGGACGAGGATGTCGGCGGGCTCATGACGATCAAGTGGCCGAAAAATGGCGCCCTGACGTTGGAGTGGGTGCAGGAGCTGGGCAAGACGCTAGACTTCGCCTCGCGCAACTTGCTACCCTCCGAGCTGCCTAATGTGCTGCCTGTTGCAGTCATTGATGCGCTGCTGGTGGCAGTTCACAAGGTGAGTAAGGATTCTCCCTTTCACTGTATAGTGACGGATAATGGCGAAGCTTTGGTTTCGTGATTGATTGATGTTGTTGAATCGTATTTCGGGATGGGGGCTTTGCGTCTCCCTCATTTTTGGCGCCCGTTTGTGAGGATCTTCTGCTCAATGCGACTGCCTCATAAGTGGAAGTGGAGGGATCGATCCTCCCTACTCCCTTGGTGCTTGTTTCTTCCGAAGCCGTGTCTTCGTTGCGCTTTTCTTCAGAAGCTTGTTTCTGTGTAATTTTCATTCTGGTGAATGATTTGCGAATATGGTTTTTGAGGATAGGTTTTCCCTTGATAAATGTGCTAGATGAGAGCATGAGCTGAGGTTTAGCTAGGTTTGTCCCCTGGATTATCATGCTCTGTGGGCGGTTTCGTATCCCTTGTGAGAATTCTCATGGCAACCAAGCTCATTTACTTCTGTGTGTAACAAATCTTTTCCTTTCCCATTTCGAAATTTCTGTGACAATCAGGCTAACCGAGTCAACGACAGTGTTGTTTACGTTTTGTTTTTTACATTTTATTTTGCTCGGCATTGTCCTTAAGTTCAAACCTATCCGCGTTGGGAATCGGAGCTGCTTGAAACTGACTAATCTCAAAGCTAAGAAGAATCCATTTTTGTTTCTACTTTTTTTTCTTTTTTTCTTTTTCTTTTTTTCCAATGACACCGAATTAGAAATGTCTGAATCTTAACCCTAATGAAATATAGTCACCGGTTTAGGGTGATCGGACAGCTGAGCATTTCCAGGAATTCTGAGAGCTAGGGATTTATGGATGGCATTGCCGAGGAGTGTTATCTTAGGTTGCAAACAGAGGACAACTGAGCGGACCAGTTGGATGTGCTTAGGTGTTGTTTCTAATAAAGGTTTCCATTCGGGAGGATTTTTCGAATTGCCGAGAGAATGATCTACACCTCAAATTTTTGAGTTTCATCATTGCTCAGCGTTGCTGACTATTTCTGGTTTGTGTTTGAAGCTTTTTCATCGGGAACCAAACTGCGTGGAAGTACCGGTAGGGCCTTCATGCAAAGCAGTGCTCGTAGGGGATGTTCACGGTCAATTTCACGACGTCTTACACCTCCTTGAAATCGCTGGTCCTCCTTCTTCAAATCGTATATTTGTATTCAATGGTGATTACGTGGACAGAGGTGCCTGGGGCTTTGAGACCTACTTCTATCTCCTCGCATGGAAGGTAGGCTAATTTCACTCCACCATTCTTTAAAATTCCACTGCCCTCGCCTTCGTCGTATTCTTTGGTTTAATAGTTTTGGCAACTGTTAATTTTGTTATAGGTGGAAGGATATTGACCCATGTGATGAAAGTTTTCTTCTCGTTTGTCAACCCCAAACCTCCACTTCTGATGTGCATTAGATCGTGACGATCGATCATCAAGAAATATGCATCAACAATTGAAGAGAGATTGTATCTGTTTGCCTTCCAGCTTTTATTACCACACCGCGTATTCTTGTTGCGGGGAAACCATGAGACCAAGTTTTGTACCAGTGCATACGGATTTGAGCAAGAAGTTACATCGAAGTTTGGCGACCGATCCAAACATGTGTACCGCAAGATGCTGGGGTGCTTCGAAGGGCACCCTCTCGCCGCCCGAGTGGCTGGGTGTGTGTACATGGCCCATGGTGGGTTGTTTCGGCAGGTTGAGAAAGAACCCTCCAAGAAAAGCAAAGGCAAAACCTACAGGTGCAATCCTAACATTTTCCTCACTTCCACCTTAGTCACAGAATCAACGAACCCCTATTGTAACCCCTTCTTCTTCTTCTTCCTTCTTTTTAATTTGTTTGGTTTTATTTCGTAATGGTGGAATAGAGGACGTAAATATCTTACGGTTTTATTGGGGGTTCGTGGTTCATATCCGTAACAGAGGTATTTTCTCGTTTTCTTGTCTGAACAACGTCGATGGTGGCGACAGGCGGTTGCTATCAGGGCGAAATGCTGAAAAGCCTTTAAAACTTGGTACATTAGATGACTTAGCAAAAGCAAGGCGGATGGTTCTGGACCCTTCAGGTTTTGGAACAAATGTGATTCCTGGGGACGTGCTGTGGTCAGACCCTTCGCCTGAGAATGGCCTCTCCCACAACGATTCTCGTGGCATAGGTCTTCTGTTCGGACCCGACTGCACCCAAGAATTTATGGAAAAACACAAGCTCAAGGTAAAATATAAGTAATGTTTGGATTAGCTTTTCATTCTTTCTTTCTTTCTTTCGTTTTCTTCTTCTTCGTCTTATTCCTTTTTCCTTTTGCTCCTGAAGTTTTTACAGTTCTTTTGCAGCTTTGTTAAGAAATTTGAGCAGCTTTTTGGTCTTGTTACTGGAAGTTCCGCTCATATTCTTATCAATCTTTATGAATTGTTCCCTTATAACGGGAAGTGATTGCTAGCTTACAATTTGTTTCATAAACAGAGCCCTCAATGAGTCCAGGTGGTTTTGGTGTGGATGCAGTTGATAGTAAGGTCTCACGAGGGTCCAGACGCCAGGGACAAAAGGCCAGAGATGGATGCTATGAACAAGGGATACACCATTGATCACGTGGTGAAGGCCGGGAAGCTCATCACTCTATTTAGCGCCCCTGATTATCCTCAGTTCCAGGTATGATAATTTTGCACTTCAGAGCTTCATAGGTTAGCAATCTGAGGACTCCAGAAAGACCTTTTCATATTTTGTGCATTTGAACATTGTCTAGATTTCAAGTGTGGTGTCACTGACCATCCATCTCGACTTTAAGCAGGCTTCTGCGAATCGATACAATAATAAGGGTGCTTACATTGTGCTGGAAGCACCGGATTTTTCTGTACCTCATTTTTTCGAGTTTGAAGCTGTTCAACCCCGTCCTAAGGTACAAGTTATTTTGAATCATTTCCAAAACTGGCAGTCGTAAGGATATATTGTTTGACCTGGACTTACAAAAGCCCATGATCATGCTTTTCTTCAAATTATCGCACAAATATTTGGACTTAGTTGTTTAAATGAAAGACTCATTTCATTATATTTTACTGTTTTTTGGACAGGTGTCACCCTATTATGACTTCGTGAACTCGATCGATTCAGATGAAGAGCTCGACCTTGGTTCTGGGTCAGGGTCAGAAGGTTCATGCGGCAGCGTCAGTGATAAAGAAACATAACATTTATGGAATTCCTGTAATGGTTAGAATAGGTCATTCCAATTCTTTACTTCCTGTTTTGATGATTCACAAAAGCAAAACCATACCCCCAATCAGGATTAGTGTTAGAGAAATACCGAATGGTTTCTAAACAAGTGATCTGAGACATTCAAAAGATCATCTCATGTCAATCCTATCAACTTTGTTTGTCTCCTACATCGTAATACAACTTTCTCAATAGATTCTTGCAAGACAATCAATGACTGGGTTCCTGTGTTTCGATGATGACTAACTAGTGTGACAGCTGCACAACTTTTATCGTGCGTGCATACCTGAATGCATTTTGTGATGACTAAATAGTTTGTTCTGAGGTGTACACCTTAGCTTAAAAACTCGTCCATTCTAAATCGTCACCATTAAGAAGGTTGTGATTTCAAAGCAAAATCCCCAATCAATAAGAAAAGTTGAAGTGAATGCGATTAATATCCTCGCGAATGGTGGCTAAGCACTACGAACTCTTGTTTCTTCTCCAGGTCCATGAAGATCGCTCCTTCCGATTCTCACCATAACTTACCAGATCTAAGGGATGGCATGACGTTCTCGTGGGGGGGACCATCACACGCCTCAAAACATTGTGCCAGGCCTTCTCAGATCTATTGTAACTGGGGTCACTTTCTAACTAAACTGAGATCTTCTGGTCATCTCAACATATCATTCTATCCTGTCATGTTCTTCAATGCCGTAGTTCTACAAAAAAAAATAAAAAATAAAAAATAAAAAATAAAAAATACAGAAAAAAACTAGCTTTCCTTATTCGGCACAATCACGTTCTACAAAACTAAGCACAGCAGTCGATCACCAGCAGTACAGCACTCCAAGAAGAGTGCAACTCTACACAAGGACTGCTTATAACTGAGACTTACTCAAGCTTACAGATCTCCCCCCAACCCCCCCCCCCGCACACAGAATCAAAAGAAAGTAATCCCAAAGTGATCAGAAGATAAAGAGCAATCGCTAAGCCAATCCTCGTAAAACGAAATTAGAATTCATGTAACTTTGTTAAAAGGCACGGTGACAAATTTGGGACTTTGAACCAACAATCGACATCGAAGAGCCAAAGTGAAAATTACCACAAAGCAGAATTGACATGCGTATGCTGTTGCACCCAATGGTTGTGAAGGACATAAAAAACCTTTCGTGATCCTAATCTATCATTACAGCCTCTCTCTATTCGAAGGCAATCGAAGAGAAATAAAGTAAAACTGAAAGTCTGCACCTCTGCTCTATTGCTACAAGAAGTACTTAATTCGCACGTCCTTTCTCATTGCATCATACACGGCCTTGACCTGATCACTGGAAGTCACTGTGACACCAATCTTGACAGATACATAGTTCTTTTTGGCAGACATTTTCGTTGTCACCTTCGGCACCGGGTTTTCAGTTACAGCCTCCACAACTTCCACCATGGCCTGGACAAATTCGTCACCTCCAGTTCCAATAGCTGTGAAATCCCTAACCATGGGATACACGTTCACCTTCTGGTCAATGGCATTCCACTGTAGCGCCGACTCCAACGATTCTTCCTTCACAGTGCCTCCAATGATCATGTTGGTCGTCTTCCCCACCCTCCCTTCCACCTTCGAAATCTCAGAGATGGCCTTCAAAACTGCGTCTTGCGGTGGGCTCTCCTCAAGCTCACATCTCTTGTCCAAATTTTCTCCTCCTGCTCCTGCTCCATTGCTGCTGGTGCTACCCGACCTACATGCTAAACACGGCCTACCAGTCTTGACATCGACAGGAATCCGCCTCTGCGTCACAATAAGTAGTCTCTGCATATTTGCTGCGTCCCTGATTTGCAAATTACCTCCAGCACCGCCACAATCCATGAATGTGCAACACAGGGGGCTATTCGACGCAGCAAACACGCTAATTGACTATTTTAAGCTAAACCCACATCCCAAACCTAACCAAAATGCTTGATAACCCTGTAGGCGGTTACGAACCCCCCCCCCCCCCCCTCCCCCACGGCCGCTAACAATCGACGCACTCGCCCGTATGAACACCAGCTGCCTGGCCTTCACCGCCCCCACAACAGCCAACACTCAAAATCCAAGCGGCACCTTTATCCAAATCCCAATCTGCCGATTGGAAGCAATCGACCAACCCTGCAGAAAGCTCAAAACTCAAAGGCCCCTGAACAGTGAAGGCCCTGAACTCGCCTAGATTGCGCGGCGGCGATGGAGGACGAGGGGGCTGCGGTGAAGAGAGCCGCAGCTGCCCGAGAGTGCACAACAACACGCGCGTAGCTCCGCATTCCAGCAGCACCGAGATCGCCCCCCGCCCAGCGCAGACACAGAACGAGAAGGTGCAATTTCACACGCTGCACAACTCCTGTATTCCTCCTCAGCACACCTGCATCTTCACCCCTCTTGATTGATTGGGAGTAGCTGTCCTCGCCGTGCGTGGATGCGGCGAGGGCGATGGTGCTCCTGCCTACTGCGGTGATGCTGCGAGTGGGGGCTATCAGCAGCCCCGCCTCTCCTCCTCCTCCTCGTCGTCATCGTCATCTTCACGTTTAGATTCGGTGTCGACGTTGATGCTCTTGAACGCAACGAGGTTGTTGACGACGTGGCTGGTGACGTGGAAAAGGTAGTTTCAGTTCATGTCTCACAAGTGGGATTTGGACATTTATTTATACACACATGTATCAGAGGGTGATAGATTTTGTAGAGGTGTATTAAAATTGCTTAGAAAATACGGTTAGATTTTGATTTTTTTTGCTTTTTTTTCTTTTCTACAAATAGGGTACCTTCAATATATTGGTTAGTATGAATTGTGACAACAATGAGTGTGGGCATAATGATGAATGCAACCCAATTGAAGAAAGGCAAAATGATTCCTAGTAGAAAAATTCTTGGATATAAGTGATAAATCATTTCCAACTTGCCTACCCTCCAACATTGCATATGTTTGGTAACCATCACCATGCATCACTAAATTTGATGGTACATCTTAACTATTGTTTCAAAACTTAATTAATTCATTATATTTGTCCATGAGTTTGAGAATAGGAAGTCAAAGATAGTTTTATGTTCACCCTCAATATCTTAAAAAGGATTCTCCAAAACCTCAATACAAATTGTATCCTTCTATCTAATATAATATCCTTTGAAAATCCATGATAGCAATAAATATTGTCCAAGAAAAGCTTAATTGTTTCTTTCCATGTAATAGTTTTTGTAGATGGTACAACATGTGCCAATTTGGTGAAATGATCTACTATTAATGAATGTAGGCCCAATAAGGAATGCAACCCAATTAAAGAAAGGTGAAATGTTTTCTAGTGGAAACATTCTTGGATGGGAGTTGTAAATTGTATCTAACTTCTTCACCTTCCAATTTGTTTACATAATTTGTACCTAATTTATTTGTATAATTAGAAATAAAAAAATGTAATATATATATATATATATTTAAATTCTTCATAATTTTGTTAGTTTTGTAGTAATTAAATTATTTAAGTTTTTCATTATATGGATTTACTAAGGTACTTGCTTTATTACAATCTATTCTTTTAAATATAATCAAGTGATTTTGATGTCTATTTTCAATTAAAAACTATATTTATCTTTATTTTTATTTAAAATTATTAACTATACTTTCAATTAACCATGTGAAAATTATTAAAATTGTAAAAATTTACATCTGTATTTTCAGGTTTTTTGTAGTCTTAAATTAAAATAAAATCTTCTTTTTTAATTGTACTACTTCTAGATAATAGAGAGTTGTTTAAAATCTAAGGCTAAGAGCTAAGGCCTAGCAATCTTTAATTTAATGGTTTGTCTTCAGACTAAAACAAGAATAAATTAAAAGATTATTATCATCTACAAGATTTTATTTTTTTATTTTTTTTATTTTTAATAAAATTAATCATAGTCATCTTAAGTGTCCACCTTGGAAAGAAATTTAAGACCAAGAAAAATCAAGGTTCTAAAAATATATTATTTTTTTAACATTTACTTATAATTTGTCCCAAGTTCACTATCTACAAGACAACTTTTAGGAATTAGATTAGTGAACTATTTAGTGTTATTAAATTAGTATATTAATATCTATTACATTTTTTTATATATTTAGAGCTCCATAGGGCTTTAAAATGAAAGTTTGTATTCCAAACTTCAAAGTTACACAAACCAAATAGCAATATAGCAAAATAATTAAAATATAAATGTCATTATTTTAAAATTCTAATTCTATCTAAATGCATATTTAACTTATTACTTTTTAGCTAGATTTGAATCTCTCATCTTTGCACCTATACTAATTACAAGTACTACACTAATTTCACACAAACTTGCTAAGAACTAATTAAGATGTATTTATATTGAAGTGGTGCTATCAACATTATCTCATAATATTTTTAAAATAACATATTTTTATATTAATAGTAAAATTTCAAAAGTAAATTAGATTCTTTTGTATGTATCATGTAATTTTTTTATTACTATCATGTTTATTATTTTATTTTTATTTTTATAAAAAAAAACGTAAGAAAAAAAAATGAATCAACTTTAAACCTGTAAAACTATTTTCATTGAAATGCCTTAAATAAAATTAACAATTTTTTTGTAGAAAAAACCATCAAAATTCTCTGTGATGCTTATACAATTTAACAAATCACATCTAATATCCATATAAATCAATGCTAATATATATAAACACATATGCACACATACCTTTTGATTCAAAATTGCTATCTTTATTCTATTTTCACGGATCTTCATTAAAAATTACAAATTTAGAATTATCACCAAAACATGACGAAGAATATTACCTCAACCTTCTAAACAAAACTCTGGTCAAATGACCTTTGTGATGAGTAGGCAGTATTGGACATTTTTTTATGAGACAATCAATATTGATATTCTTCGAAAGCTTATTTTTTTTGCACTAGTTCACCTTCTTCAGCCGTTTTGAACAAGTTTCTACGCCTGAATGAGGCAGTATCTACATGTAGATATGAGAAATCAACCATCAACTGTATGCTGCTCCCTGCTTGCTCATTTCTCCTGACTTTGTTAAATTTTTGAAGTCTTGGTTTAGCAGCCTGCCATCTCCCTGCTTGGTTGATTGCCCAATTGACTGATCCTTTTGGAGGCCACGGAGTGTTGTAGATGAAATGTAACAACAATTAGTCGCGCCTGTGCGTCACCCCAATGGTTCCACTCCAGCTAGGTTTGTTGTTGAGCTTGTTCAGCAACGTCCAGAATTTGAGTTTAGCTGGCAGAACAGTCGTCAACTGTTAGAATTCAACCGATCCAAGTTGGGTGATGACAGAAATTCTACCTAATCGCAACATTCAGCATGTGGTAAAAAACAACAGGTGTGTGACTAATACTCTCATTCTTTCACTGTGCACTACCGCTGACTGTATCAGTACAGGAAAACGTATTAGAAAACAAGTCTAGGTTGTAGTTGTACCTACACCCGTTCGCTAATACTCGTGAGAGTTATGAGGCGCTAAGACCGTGACATGCGACTTTCGATTGATCGCTAGCTAGAAGGCATCCACAAGGCATGCCGTGAATTCACTTCAGGACATCTCAGGCCCGCATGGGAGCGATTTGGTCGGCGGAGTACCAGTCATAGAAAGGATGGTTCATTTGGTCTGATCGATGTGAGAATAGTGATGGATCTTTCTCCTGTAACGTCGAGCTGGAAGAAGGGCACAGAGCATCCCACGTTTCCTTGGATCTGTTGTCATGATCCCGGTACAAATCACCGTTCAGGTGCTCCTTTCCCGAAGATTCACTCCATTCTTTGAGGTTGAGCCCGTTCGAAAGCGCTGCCCCCTGGAAGTGATCCACGCTGGGCTTGTACTGTGCACTAGAATGAAGAGTAGGGTTGTAGTTGCAATAAGGGGGAAAACCGCTGTCAACTTGGTCCCCCGACCCAGTCATGTTGCTGCACCGCAAGTATAATTGATAGTATAAATCGGAGCTTGTATGGTGCGAGGTTAGAGGATTGAGGGTGTCATTCTGGGCATGAGTCAAGGATGACGAGGGCCGGGAGGCGACGGCAGTTAGGCTCTTGTCCATGGGAGTTTCAGTTTTACACTTGGCCCGAAGCTTCTCAGATTCCTGTGCGGCTGCTCGCTCGTCGGGTGACCCTGTGAGTTTCTGCACCAGATTTATGAAGTCGTCGCTGGTCGAGTCAAACACTGTAGTTGGGATCTTTTTGGATGGCCGCTTGCGTTTCTTCTTCGCTATGACTTCAGCAGGTTGCGAATGTTTGAATGCCTCCATTTTGCCGTATACCATGGTATCTCGAACGGCGTGTCTGCAGTAAATAGGTGGGTGACTGATAGAAGCTGATGAAACTCGCTTCCAAAAAAATTCGAGATTATGTAGATTCTGGGTCATGAAATTTCCTAAAAGTGTTGCGATAATGGAGAAGTTTTGGAGAAAACAATTGTGCTGCGAGTCCTGCATGAAACATGAAACCTGCCAAAACGAAAGAAAAATGTTTAAGAACACTAGTCTCATGAAATAAATGCTGCATGTTGGCAACAATGCAGCGGTTCAAGATTTCATCGGGTTTCGTTCGCGTCATCGTGACACACAATCAGCACGAAGAACATTCAATTTTACTAGTTGTAACCATTAGACTCTCAGTTTCACACCCTGCACAGTCCCAGACCCAAAGCACCTGCAATGGCTTCTCCAAACCCTCAGTCACCCAATTCCTACTCAAGTCCAACTCTGCACTCGCACTCCTACTCAAACCCTTCACACCGCCCAAGGTCAGCCACTGCATGCCCCAAGACAACCAAAAAACCGATTCCACCCTCAGATTCCGTCCAGTTAAGGAACGTTAGTCTCCAAGTCTCAATAAACCTTACAAATCTTATAGGCACACACATACACACGACCCTGAACTGAACTTACTTGCAGCAAGGATCAAACTTGTGTCGCAAAGGGTAAACAAATTGTGAGGAGAAGAAACAGCTTCAGATTGCGATGAGAGGGGCAGCTGTGGTGTGGAGAGGCAATTGAATTCAAGGCAGTTGAAGTGGCGGTGGAAAGTGGGATGAGTTGAGGTGGTTGATTTATGCACAAGAGAGCGGGGACAATTGTGCCGCCGGGATGTCAATCCGACGCGGTTAGTTATTGTCTCGCCTGGGGCGCTGAGCCTGTAATTCTCCCCGTCACTCGGTTTCAGGCAGTCGAAGACCAAGACCCCCTCTATTCTGACCTTTCGGTAGATTCTCTTGCGGGTCTGCGTGGATGAACGCTGGATGAATGCGGGCTGCGCCGTAAGTCGGGACCGACAGACGTTGTTCATCCGTGGCTGGTGTGGATGATCCCATACGTCGTTCGCTTGAATTCAACTGCACAGAACTTTTTGTTTTTTATTATTTTTTATTATTTTATGTTTTGTGTTGGGTAGTGGTTTCGTTTGACTTAGTTATTAATATATTTGAAGAGGTTATTAAAGTGGAAGCTTATGTTGAATAAACCTAAGAAGATTGTGATATTTTCATAATTTGTGATAGATTTACAAAAAAAGTGTGTATTAACTATTTGAAGGGTTGATTTGTTTTATCGTCTCATGTTAATGCACCAATATTATTAACTGTGCATTTAAGAATACACGTTATTTTTATTTTTCTTTTTATTTTTTATTTTTTATTTAGCATGTACTGAATTCACTATAAACAAAAATTTGGTAAAATAAAATTTTAAACTAGTTTATTCTTTATAAGTTGGGTGTTTAAGCATTTGTGTCAAAGCAATAATTTTATTTGAATTTGTATCAAAGAGATGATTATCAATGTGCCAGAGTATTTCATATAAGTTATTTGATAAAAATGAACCAACTTATAATTGAAAATATTCATCATTAATATTTAAGATTTTAAAAATCGGCTATATATATATATATTAAAATCTAAAATCGTGATTATTTTTATTTTGATTAAATATTTTCCAATAATATTGCCATTCTAAAAATATTTTTTAATCTTATCATTAATATGAAAAAATAAAGACAACCAATTACAATGATATTCATAATATTTTAGTTAATTTAAGATTTAGAATTTTTAGTATTATTTTTACAAATCTTAAATTAAGATTTAAGGTTATATATATATATATATATATATATATATAATAAAATATTATTATTAGAAATGTTAGATTATCTTCTTTTATAAATATTAAAAAGATATTTTTTTCATAAAACTAATCCTCAATAAAGATGTATGTAATCAACATATATAAAACTTTGCTATCTTACATAATGTAGGATAGAAAGTTAAAATAACCCATTACAAAATATTTAGAGATAATGTTCACTTCAAAATTACACTTTTGATCATTATTCATCTAAAAATTTGAATAAAAGAATGTTAAAAATAAAATAATTAATACATCTTCAAGATCAATATCAAATAATTTTTTCATGCATTAAAAATTAATATTCACACTTCTAATGTCCAAAAGAAATTACAAACCATTGATATATATATATATATATACACACACACATATACATAATTGTTTATTAATTTGTTTTGAACTATTGATATATATATATATATATATATATATACATAATTATTTATTAATTTGTTTTGAAAGGTAGAAAAAACAGACTAATAACCTCATTAATATAATATGTAAGATAAAACAATTGTGCCATTGGATTCTAATGAATTCTACAAACAACCTCTAAAGTCAACCTCCATTTAAATACTCATCCATCGTAATATCATTTGTAGTTGCTTGACAATAGGCACAAATTTCTATCATACACACATTGCTTGAATGTTGTTTGCTTACTACAAAAAATTTCGGACCCATCAAAACTGTTTAAAATACCAATTTCAAACCAACATCAAAGATTCACCTTTTCGAGTACCCAATTCGGGGGTTGATTTTGAGTCGCAAGTTCCACCACCAGATTGAAGAAAGTCAGGGGTCACAACCTTGCAAAAGTGCAAAGCAGAGACGAAAACTAAAAGCATGAGAGATGGGATGCAACGCAACGGCGTGGCCATGGTGCAGAGCTTGAGGGGGTGCAGAGTGTGGAGTCGCAGAGAAAACCAGGTCTTGCACGCAAAAGGGGGCGAAACATCCTAGATCCCAAGACTGGCAACTGGGTGAGGAGACTTCAACGAGGGAACTAAACCCCACCAGGGTAGACTCCGACCTCAGTTTGTGAAGAAGCCCAGTCTCGCAGATCTCCCCTCCACCAGTTCACCCCTCGCAACCTTGACTTCCCCCCACCCCTGGCTTCTGATGTCATCAACTACTGATCGAGCTCACAATCGTGACTTCCACATCCTGTGCTCTTTATACCCTATGAAAACCCCACCACCCTCTGAAGATTGAAGCCCGCAAAGCCCTTTTCTACTCTCCAGATTTGTTTCATCTTGGACTTTTCCCCTTGACCGTGGACACCATCGACTGGTTTCGATGCCCCCATTGCGATGGCGGATCTCGGTCGTAGAGCTGTTGTTGGTGTTTCCGCTGTCTGACTTGAATGCCCAGTTGTTCTTACCCCTTCTTTGGCTGAACCCAGGTTTTGGAAACTGGTTCCGAGGGCGGCACTGGGTGTCACTATTGGTGAAGTTTGAACCCAGGGGGATGTGCATGACTGTGTTCGCCCCGGCGGCTGCCGAACGCGACTCACCTACCGATCCTCTCCTTGGAACTGGGTGGTGAGACACGCTCTGTCTCTAGTTGAGGGGACGATCAGGTCCTGGCGCTCTTCCTCGGGCGAGAGAAGAGACGATATGAGAGTTTCTCTGCCGCGAGTTAATCGAGAGCAAAGATTTTGTCCAAAAGGGATGGGCGAGACCGATGCTGGTAACACTGATGTAGCGATCTGAACTCGGGCGTGTCTGTTTGAGCGACTGATGGGGTTTCTATGGGGCATTCTTGGCGACATTTTGACGCCGATTCAGGCACTCGAGGCCTGCTCTCCTGCAGGAGGAGCCATAACCTTCGCCTCTTGTGTGTGTATTATATTAATAAACTTCAGTTACATTTTTTTTTTTTTTTTTTTTTTTTTTTTTTGTATTAGAATGCAGTTTGGTTAATAATTATATGGGATTGAAAATGATTCATGAGCAGTGGCCATTCATGTAGAATCTTTTCAAGAAACTGTGCAGTTAAATTCTATTGATTATGGTTCTCAAAGAAACTCTATAAATAACAACCTAAAGCCTTCATAGCATTTTTGAAAGCATATCAAATTCAAGTTAAATAGGTTGTGTTGAATTCGTATTTATTGATAATTAAAAACTTAAACCACATATATATTAAGTCTTATGAAAACATGTCCTATTGTGCTGTTCTATTAAGAATATTATTAATAATTTATACTTAACTGATTAAATTTTTATTAAATTTTTCTGTTTGTGGACAGATTTGAGCTTTTGCGAAATTCTGAAGTAACATCCATGTGAAAGAATGGAGATTTTATTATTTTGATTCTAAAATACTACTAAATCAATACATTAATTATGGTTAAACCACCGTGCTTACTTTGGAAAAAAATAACCAATATAGTAGTTTATTAAAATTTAATAAAAAAAAAGTTCTACAGCTAACCAATGTGTATAACCAATGTGTATGATACATTGAACCTTGAAATTGATTACTTTCTAAGGTAGAAATTCTTGGTAATTATAGATACATATGTAAAAGAAAAATCATTAGAACCTAGTGCTTTAGGTAAAAGAATAAAGAAAAAAATGGAATTTTGTCTAATGCAACATAATACAATGTAATTTACTATAATACAAAAAAAATTGGTAAGAATTAGTGGTTTCATTTAAAATTAATACCAAATTAATTGTGATTGATATACAAAGTTATAATGTGTTTTAAAAGAATTTAGACCATATATATTAATATGACTTGGGACAAGATTTTTTAGTTTTTATATATATATATATATATATATATATAATTTTTTTCTTTTTTCTTTTTATTTATTTATTTTTTTCTGAATTTTAGAATAGCATAAATATCATTCACAAACTGTTAAAATGCAAATTTATTTATCATTCACAAACTGTTAAAATTCAAGTGGGTAATCAACAGCACGACCCACAAAGGCGAAGTCCATGAAGCAGTCGACAGATGTCGAAAGCTTGACAGCATTACAACGAAACAAGCGACTGACACAAATCTTGTCTTGAAGCATCCAGCGAGCTGCGTCGTTGTGGATGAATTTGCTATCCATATCGACAACACGATCACAAGATCTAGTATCCATGAAACAAAACTACTGTGGCAAGTCCCATTACCTAGAGGTGTAGATTCAGAGATCTCAAGCGGTGCAGCATCAGCCCACAATTTCAGCTGCGTGGGTGTGTACATCGGAGTCTGATAAGATCTAGACGCAGTGTTTGTTGTGCATATTAGAGTGAAGAAAGGAGTGTGACGAGTTCTATGATCTCGTCCATAAGTTGTGCATGGGTTCCGTCAGTTTACATCGCTGGTTTGAAGGCGCTATACGACTGGTTATCCGAATGCATATACTTTACAGACACCAACAACCTGCAACTTTTGCTCATCTTTCCACACGTGGTGAGTGTTGACGAGTGGAAAAACGCAGTTGAAGGTATCTTTCAAGTGTCTTTTCAAGGTAATAGACCTGGCATGCAAGTAGAAGAAGAAGTTTGCAACCAGTTTTGGCACACATTGATTTTGGAATGCATTTTATTCAAGCAGCTGTTTGGAAGCAAAGCTTATGAGTTTGTGTGGAGTTGACACAGATTAATTATATTTGATTATGGCCTTCTCTTGTAGAAGCTGACCTGGTTTAATAGATATACAAAACCTGCTTTGACAAAAGAGTGTGCAGATTTTCACTTAGATATCATCGGCTCAAGTTTGTCATGTGCTGATGTTTAAGTTTCATGGATGTAGCACAATTATGTAAGAGAAGAGGAAGATGAAAGATAACGAAATTGAATCCTGTTTGTCGTAATTGAGAACTTACTGTTAATTTCGTTTTGTTGATTTTGTAATTTTAAAATAAAGGTTGATT